AACCCCCCCCCCCCCCCTTCCTACAACCAGCATCTGGTCACACTGTAGATGCCATAAAATACCCCAAATCCATCAGAAATTGTGAAATGTGGAGTCCGGCCTCCTGCAGGGAGTGCAAATCCTTCGTATGAAATAGAGATTTATATGCGGTAGCCGCGTCTGCGTTTCATGGGCCACGACACGCTGAAGGCTGTTTCCGTCTGGTCTGAGGTCACCAGCTTGGCGCAGATCGGAATAGTTTAGAAATGTTTTGATGTTCCTCAATGCGTTCAGTTCCTCGTTCTGTTTTTTTATAACGACACTGGTCACATCCCAGGAGCTGGATGGCCAATATGCTTTTGTAAATAGGAGCTGGCACCTCGCTTCTAAAATGTATTACTAATCATCTTCTGTCAATGGGAGGCGATCGCCGCTCATTCCTTCATCAGTCTGGGCCCCTGTTATACATTGAGAGGGGAATCTATCAAAACTGGGGCGGACAGAATCTGGAGCAGCTGTGCATGGCAACCAATCAGCTTCTCCCTTTCGTTTTCAAAGCTTAACTGAGCAAAATTAAAAAAAAAGAGAAGCTGATTGGTTATTGTGGGCAACTGCTCCAGATTCTATCTGCTCCAGTTTTGATAATTTCCCCCCCATTGTATGTTTTAAAGCCTCCTCGTTAACAAGTGAAGCATAAGAAATGATTGCAATGGATCCACACAGTGTCAGGACATTTGTCAGAGACAATTTTACTGTTCGTGTTTCTCCTTTATGTGAACAGAATATCCTGTTACCTCAGATTACTATAGAGCATGTAAGGATGTGAGCACCACAAAGCTTGGTTCAGTCTACTAAGAATTTTTATGTTTTTCTAGACACATAATCCAAGAAGCCAATACATTTCCGGGGCCCAAACTCCCCTCATCAGGGTCTGTGTGCTAGCTGTAAGTCTAGATTTGTAAGGGACACTTGTTGATAACTTATAAGTATAGCAAAGATCTGGGCCGTGCTCCAGACCACTGTACAGATTACTCCAGAGACCATTTGGGATATCCCAATTGAAGGCTACCTCTAAAAGTCAGATTTTGAGGCCTGATTTCTGTCTGTTCTGGGCTCCAGCGCAGTGTATATTCTGGGGTCCAGCGCAGTGTCTATTCTGGGGTCCAGCGCATTGTCTATTCTGGGGTCCAGCGCAGTGTCTATTCTGGGGTCCAGCGCAGTGTCTATTCTGGGGTCCAGCGCACGGTCTATTCTGGGGTCCAGCGCACGGTCTATTCTGGGGTCCAGCGCACGGTCTATTCTGGGGTCCAGCGCACTGTCCTGGGGTCCAGCACTCCTCCAACACAGACCCACGGTGCTAAAGACAAAGCTGATAATATTGGAATGATTTATGTTCTGGTTTGTAGAATTTTGAAGCATTTATGTATTGTGCTAAATGATGTTCAGAATGTTTTGATACGCTGTATGTAAATCAGGTTTCCTAATCATTCATTAAGGGACACAGGATCGGAAGGATGGGTTATACTGCTGCACACAGGATAATTGGCAAAAACAGCCGTCAGGTTATAACCCCTCCCACTCCATGCTCCAGTTTTTAGCGAGTGTGCCTAAGAGAATGGACATCTCTCCCCGGGGAGAAGCAGAACCATTTCACTTAACATTCCAATATCAAGATATTTATTCTTTATTCAAGATTCTTTGTCAACAGCAGAGCCATGAGAGCTGAATAGGCAATTTTGGAGATCGGTTGAACATTGGCGCTGCCTTTGGAAGGTTGGCTCCATCCAGTGTGGCTCCCTCCGTTGCATTATCCAGGGATGAGTTTTCTGTGTCTGATCATCACTCCAATGATAGCTCTGATTGTGGGGGCCCTAAGGTTATTTCTCTGCTTTCTCCTCCAGAGTCGGCCTCTGATATACCTGTAAGCCCAGCTGTTTCCACACACTCCACTGAGGAGGATGAGGAGTGTAATGTGTCCTTTTTGGGGTGGTATTTTGGCCTGAGGAGATTGTTTGCTGACACCTCCTAAGCTAATATATACCGTGTCTGTTCTTTTTGATGCAGTGACCTGGGTCTGAAGTGCCAAAAGTTACTAGCCTGGGCTCCCTTAAAGGAGAACTATGGGGCTAAGGCTTTTCCCCATAGTTCTCCTTAGGGTAACGGGAGGACACCAACTAGCGTCCTCCCATCACCCTAGGCTCAGTATACCGCGAGCTGAGTATACTGAGACGCCGCAGCTGAAGCGGATCCCGACTAGGGCTGCAACAACTAATCAACATAATCGATAATCGATTATTGAAAAAGTTGTCAACTTTTTCAATAATCGATTAATCGGCTTCCGATCAGTTGGCCCTGTTCACAGCTCCACACGCTGTGCGCCGCACCTCCTCCCCACCTCACGCTCGCCGCTGTTAGGCCCGCTCGCATCCACGCTCCACACGCCGCACCTCCTCCCCGCCTCACATTTCCTGCCCATCCACGATCGGCAAGGCACGCGGGG